ATATTCAATTGTTTTCCGAGAAGAACATCGATTCCAAGTAACATCCCCGATACAAATATCCAAAATCTACCCAGCGAACAGAAAAAAAGTTGACAACAGATAGGACTGAAGTGTTATTTCAACTTGGAAGTGTAACTATTACACTCTACAGAGTATTACAAAATGCATAAACAATCCCGCTGTAATTTCTACTCACGGTTTGTATAAGAGATATATTTCTAGGCGAATGTTCAGGAGGAAATAATCTGTTATCAAGAATAAAGAAAACGTCCAAATCAGACAAGTAGTTTTTACAAAAAATATTTCCTAATCATTGGGCAACTTTTTGATAGTGCCCCAATTTCTTGGAGGAGTGCATAATATCATGACTTCATCCTATTAGGTCAAGGAAATATAAAGGAGTATTGCAAAATTCCTCTCGAAAACAAGGAACGTTAAGAATCCACCTAGTACTTTCGGTACATGTTACTTCTGTGGTGACTGTTGAGTAGGACACACTGTTTTTGAGTTTTATCTTTATCCAATCCCCATTTATGGGTAATTCAAATAACACAACTTGGTTCTTTGAACTATAAAATGTTCCTCCATAGCTAGTTAGGTCTCATAAGCTCGATTTTATCCCAGGAAATGAAAACTTTGTGGATTAAGTTACGACTCTTGGCCAATTTTAAGCCGTGTTACCCCATTATCCTACTGTTAATTACTATAATATTCTCTATATACACAACAAAATAACTTCATCATTTTAGCGTAGAATATTTATTTTGCCTTACAGCTTTAGCATTGCATTAGTTTACCCGTATAAAATCCACGACATTGAGAAATTTCTTGAGAGGTTCACATCATTAAAATATCGATCATAAAAAATTTTCGTCCTGATCAAATGAAGATAGTGGTTATTTATTTGATGACGGAAGATACCAACAGAGTTTCCTGTATCAAGATGCAACAAACGTTTGGCAGACTATTAAATACACAAAAATGTATATCCATGGCAACGTAGGCCATAATAAACGTTTATTGGCATTTTTTTCCAACTGTCTAATGCTTCATAAAACTCGCTCTGAATTGTTAAAGAAAGAACTGACAATCATTTCCAAAAATAAATGTTCTCTGAAAAAATCAATCGATGATTCTTATCGTTCATCTCATCTCTTCTTCAATGATCAATTCAACTCGAAACGTTCAGTAAAATCACACAAGCGGCGAAAAAGTGAGTAATTGAAAACAATAAGGCCTAGACAAATCAAGTGAAGTATTCGTACTTCTTCATTTCCAACTTTCCATCGTAAAAATTATGTAGCTGACTGTGATGGCACGCTAGATAGTCTAATATCACCACTTTGGACTTTTCTCATACGATGACTTTTTGGAACTTTCTCACCCTCAATATTTTCCTCCTAGTAGATCATTTTATGGAAAATTGGAAATTTCAGGTCAATCTTATTTTCAGGAGGGATACTAGTATGCAAATTTTAGGCCTCATGATTCAACCCTTCGAGGAAGGTTGTTGTAATCCGTAGAACCTCATATGAGAAAAAGAGGCATTCAACTCCTTTTCCAATAGTAGGTACCTACCATAGCTGATCATATCTCGATGCGCAGAATCTACAGAAGTAATTCAGAACATGCCCACACTGAGATGCATGGTTTTCAGTTGGGTATTTCAAAAAAAATAATTGTATTGGTTCTCCTTTTCATTTGAACGTTCGGAAGATTGGGTGGCATCTTTATAACCCTCCATATAATGGTTATTCCACATTACCAAAAAAAAAAAAAACAATTCAAATCTTCGGAATGTAGTTCAATCTGCTCCATACAGTAATGAAGTGTGAACTCCTGTTGAGCATTTAATGAAAATTCATTATTGATTGACCAGCAAGCTGATATGATTCGTCTTTCAAGTTCATCAATATCCGCAGATTAAGTTTTATGAACAATTGATTCACGACGTCCATGAAGAAGAACATGCAAAAGTAAAATACCGTCTGCATCAATTTGAATTCCTGGCTCGTTATAAAAGGATCTTCAAGCCTATCCAGGTACAGATTGTAAAATTTTTGTCTTCAATAAATAAAGGACAAATGATAGCATCATCAACAATACCAGCCCAAACATTTTTGTGCGGGTATTGTGTATGCTCTCCTCCGAAAATGTGATATTTCACTAATAGATTAAGTACTTATTGATGTTTATTTCTTGAAGCTGATGTATCATATTGACCCTGATGGAGAGTTGGAAAATTGTAGTATGGTTAATTATTATTGTTTCTACTGGGATTATGGTCGCATGATATATTTGTAGATGACAATAGTCAGACCACTTGTGAACAAAATTAATCAATCAACTCAAACACACTGTTCTCTATAATATAATATAGAAATCCTATAAAGTACCGCTGAGAAAGTATTATCTGATATTCCAATAACTCGAACTAGAAGGAATGTCAATACAATAGTACTAACCTGAAAACCATGCATCTAAGTGCAGGCATGTTCTGATCACTCCTGTTAGTTTATAGCGGCATCTTCCGGAAACTGTTCATCAGAAGATAAAACACTTGAATACAATTGGTAGGAGAATTGAATGCTCTTCCAATTTGAAATTATAGGAGTAACATCTATTCCTTCTAGAGGGTTGAACCATAAGGATCAATACCCACTTATATATATATATCAAAAGAGCAGAAGTATTCTTCTTCCCATGGTGCATTCGGATCTCAACAAAAATCAATTTGACACATCTGTCACATGAATTTGTTTATTGTTCAATGTATAATTGAATTTCATCTGAAGTTTGGATTGATTGAGTTCATTGGAGTTGAAAAATTAAATTGTCACTTGTTTCATAGTAGTGATGGAGGTACTGATAAGGTACTTGGGTAGTACAGATCTCATTCGTATATATTTACCAAGGAAGCTGAAGCCAATTTATATCACATCTTACGAAGGGTAATATTTGTTCCTCCTGTGGAAGTCAATTGACAGGTTTGTGTGCTTGAATGAGAGAGCAAACGCTTCCTTTCAATGCAGTGGGTAGATGGAAATGATAATTTCAAGTGTCTTCCTTGAAAATGGAAGTGACCTGTCTATTATTCACTAGGAGGAAGATATTGACATACTGCATGAGAGCCTTCATCCGTTTGTTCTCATGATATACAGTTCAGTCCAATATACCTGAAATAAACTGATAGGTTCATCCAAAGTAGGTTGTGGTTCAATAAATTCCATCAGGTTGTAGCTGTATTAAAATTCCTCAATTTCGTGGATTCTACATTATTTGTCGTTGATGGAAAGAATCGATATTGAAGCGTTGATTTTATACCTTTCCCAAGTGAAAACAGTCCATATGTACAGGGAGTTTGTATCTAACGAATAACTCCAGTCGAATATCAAAAAACACACACGAAAAGATTAATGCATGCCCTGTATGTCTCAAGGATTCCGGACGTTTCCAGTACAAGCATCGACTAATAAGTAGAAGTAATGGTTATCCTCATCGATCCCAGATTTTGATCTGAACCTTTCAACGGAGCTCATAACGACTGATAACGTGCAACAGAATAGACCATCAAGTTTGATAGAGTTTTCCAAAGATTGATCTTGAAGGAGGAGAATAAGAAGACGCAGAAAAATAAGAAGAAATAGACACAAAAATTTGACCGAAAAAAAAATTAATTAGATTCTATCAATTACCAGATTGTTTCAGATTGTGATCTTAGGAATTCGGAAGTTTATGTAAGTTTGTATGCGTATTAGCTCCATGTTCGATGTATAAGGTATTCAATGCCCTTCAGAAGAATAGCTGTCCATCAGCAGCAAAAATTCCACTGACCCGATTCTCATTGAACTCAGATCATTTTTCTAATTTTATGTTTGATACAACGAAAGTAGGTTCATTGAAATCTCCGCATTATGAAAGATTAAATAATCAACATCCGCAGATTCCACACGAACATGTGAATTAATTGATCACTGATAGAATTATATGTCACTCTTGAAACAACATTGTTATTCAGGAACATCCGCTTTCGATATCGTTTTCATCTCGATATTTTTTTCATTAAATAGTACTATTTTATTATCCTTCCAATTTCACATCAACTTCATTCTCACCCAAACAGATAATGAGCCGTGTGCAACAGAATCAATCTGGTTTGGAAATCTCATAGCTTATCTACTGAACATTCGATGACAGCATAATATGATGGGAATTGTTAATGGGATTTCAACCCCAATATCAATCAACAGTAGTTATATATTGTTGCTTTTTCATTCCGCTACATTTGTTTTCAATAATTCAGTTGTCATTTCCATGTCAATTCCAGGAAAAAAACGAAAGTAGTATTATTTGATGATTCTAGTTCGAGTACAGGGTTGCTGGAATTGAAGCCCCATCATTGAGATCCCGTGAACCCTAAGATATACAAGGTCGGTTGGATCAAAAGTTCCGGATACTTTCGGAAATTTTTTGTAAAAATCGGATATCCGCGATTTAATTTGATTGTTTCAGTGACTCTATTTAAATAGATTCAACAAGAGGAATCACAACAATCCTATTGCTACTTGTGACATCGTACAAGGTGGTTTCATCAGACTTTCAAACCGACATTTTGTTTCACAACTGTGATAATCAACTTTTTTATTCTAAATACGGCCGTGTATCATCTTGTAGAAAAACAAGAATAATAAGGAGAATGTGTGATTTTTCTTACATCTATTCGAATAAAGTCATGAAACCATGTAAATGAGATCGCGCATATTCGATATTGCGCAACTTTGTCAAAATATTATCGACCCTGTATCTTCTGAGATTTACGATATCCCAATAATGAGGCTCGAGTTACAGCCACCCACCCTAGATACAGTCAATTCCTTTTGAATTACTATTATTACGATGAGTATTTCCTTGTCTCCATACCTGCCTGCTAGCTAATCTTAGCCAACAACTGAAAACGTTTCCAAAAATCCTCGCATACAGGGCGTCCCACAACACGCAAACTAAACACGCACGCGAACCTTGAAACCGTCATACGTCCAAGATCCCAATTTGAGAACGCACGTCTGCACGTCGTACGGGAAAAATTCCACGTCTATTGCGCAAGAAGACTTATACACAGCGGGAGGCTTCCAAACGACGAGACCGTCGTAGTAAACGGTGGCCTTGGTCATCAAGGTTACTTCATAGTTGCCGTCGGCGCTAGAACCAAAGACACTCTCAGACAAAGAGGGCGGTTATTCAGAAGAGAAAATGTTAAAGTCGACAATATTTTCGTGAATTAACAATGGCCTTGGTCATGAAGGTCACTTCAAGGTTGCCGTCAGCGCTTGAATAAAAAAACACTCTCAATCAAATAGAGGGGTTATTTAGAGATAAAAATGTTTGAATCGAATAAATATTCGTCATCACGGTCACTTCGAAGATGCCGTCAGCGATAGGATAAAAGAGAAGAACAGTCAAAGAGTGCGGTTATTCAGAGGAGAAAATGTCTCCATTAACAAGATTTCAGTGAGTTAACGGTGGCCTCAGTCATCAAGTTCACTTTATAGTTGCTGTCGACGCTATAGTATTGAAGACCCTCACAGTGTAGGAGGACAGTTCTCCAAATAGATCACTGTATTGATAGTAGTATGAGAGCAGGCAGCAGATTACAACAACTGTCATCTGATAGCAAAATGACATATCTCTACTAGAATCTCCAGTCATAGGCATTATTACTCAAGAAACCATCACCTATGTTGAGTTAAAATAACGTTATTATCACCTATTCCATCAATTCATAGTGGATTTCACAGTGGTGGTCATTCAAAGAGTAGAAGTGTCGTAGTTTCCATTTCAGATGATTACTCCACGAAGTGGAGAACTCTCAAAGCTTATTACGGAGGTATTATTCAGAAACTATCACTACTTACAACGACTCATGGGGTTTCGCAATTTTGAGTACATCATGTCGGTAACGTTCACCTCCCCAAGGGAGCTTTACTGTAGCAATTATCAGTTTATAATCACGACAATGTCACTATTTCATTCATCACCTAATGATTCAGTAATTTCTTCGTCAAATGAGAAGTGGCGATTACTACTCAACCGATTTCCAGTGAGTGAAAACTAGTAACAGGTTATTTTGTGACAGTAACTGAACATAATGACTTCATCGTTAATTCACTCATAAGTAGGTTATTGTGACTGAGAAGTAACTGAAGTTACTTTCTGGTTCATCTCCGATTGGGAGGCAGGATTGAATTTTGGCTTTTTGGTTTTTCTGTTGATAAATTTCGTCATATGAACAAAAATAACAATTGTTCGATACTCTTATAATTATGGATTTTAACATAATTCACGATGTTTTATTTTGGCAAAAGTCGAACTGAATATAACTTTATTTTCGTTGATTGTAGCTTTATTTTACGTCTATCAAGAAACTAGCTCTTCTTCATGTACGAATATTAATTATTTCGAGTGTTTGAGATTGCATTTTTTATGGTGTTATCCTTTAATTTTTCATCATTAATATGTGATCTCCATGGTTGGAATAATGGAGAGGAAGTATCATATTTTTTTGAAGTTAGAAAGAAACATATATTCAGTAGAAAAATTATCCCCATCTTTACTTAATTTCGACGTCAACGGGCATAAGCTTCACGTACTTGTGTGTTTCAGCTATGTCATCAAACATCATCACCAATTCGTAATTTGTTTTTCATTTTGGTTGTCAAATCGTATCAACTACGTATTCATATCGTAACCGAACTAGTGAATATAACTCAATAGTCCACATAAATGTCGTAATTATGTAATCGCGACTATGAATGCTAGTTGCGATGTGCCGAAAACATTCAAAAACATTGTATTCAATCGAACAGCGCCTGTGCAAATCACTACCCGTGAATATTTGAAAGTGCCGCGAATCAAACTGATCAAAGTTAGTGACAGTGCATCAATACTTCCTGAAATATTCAGCTGTTGTTGATGAAGTCGTGCAAATATTATCGTATGGAAAGTTCTACTTCCCATGAATTCTCATGAAATGTATTACTGTCAAGTGAATATCATACTAATAACAGACACTGAGAACAGATTTTCGCGCCTCTCTGATGCTTTTTTTCTGCTCTGAATAACCTCACTCCAGTGATTCTCCGTCTTCTCAACGACAACGGATCAGTCATCAGACATTCAATATGGAAAATTTGATTCTGGTTCTCTTTGCGCTTGGGGTACTTCCATTGACTTTATATCCATCGTCGAAGAATATCTACATTGAGAGTGATGAATTTTTTCATTGCATTTTGTGCTGTGGTGATCTCGCTTGATTTGTAGGGAATTTTCAACATTGAAATCAGACGAATAACGGATCATCACTTCTTGCTTCCCTTATATTTTTGAGAAACTGCCATATTTCAACAAGAACTAATCCAATATTCTCATAAATTGATGTTGAATATCATATAAGATAGAGAGTTGTACAAGTTGCATACATGCAACTGATTAATCAAATGAAGAAAATTTGTATTTCATGTAGATATTTTATCATCAAATCATGGAGCACTTTCCGCTTATCAGCTATCATCAGTGCTATACCTGTTATTATGTAATCTTTTATATGAAATGTTAATGGAGAGTTTTGAATAACTTACTCGTCATGAATTCACGGCAAGGTCTACAATTATATCGACGACATCAGTATGATACAAACGGTAGTGAGAACAGACATACATTTTGTCAATAATTGCCGAGTAAGTAGTTATCTACAACTAATATCAACATTTCAGATAGATCGTTACTGACTTATAGATAGAGCACTGATGATAGCTTATTATCCGAGAGCGCTATGGAATTTGATAGTGAAATATTCATTTCGCACTAGGGAACAGTACCATTTCCAGGATCGTGATGAAGTTTGTATCCCTTTAATGCTGCCGCTATTTCGCGCACCACTATTCGATGTGATTTCGATTCCTTCGATATTGCCGCCGTATCATAATATACCTACTGACTGATTGATACCTTTTTGTCATCTCATATAGAGTCAGCACCCCAGTAGTAAACGACATTGATCAACTGAAGAAGAAACGAGCATCAATTTGGTGGTCTTCTATGGAAGGATGAATATATAATGAGGAATAGGGAAAAACTACAGAGAATGGAACAGCTATGCAGGGTTGATGAAATTCGATGACAGATGAATAGAAATGTCTTATTGCTTCAATTGACGTGTGATCGGATGGAATGAAAATTTGCCAGGAACACATTTGGATAGTATTCTAATTTCAATCGTTTGCTGAAAAAAAGTCAATTCCATTGTGTAAGTTGCTGAACAGAATCATTATGAGGCACAGACACTGAAATCTGCATCCCAGATTCCAACTCTTATCGACATTTTTTGTGATAAGGCGGACATGTTGGTAGTTGAATTGACCGATTTCTCATGAGCACAGTGTTAGTAGTTTTTTGGTCGGTCGGTTTCAATGGTTCCTGCTGCTGCTTTTTCGCGGTTTTTGGCGGTTCTCTGCAGTTTTTAGCGGTTATCGGCCGTTCTTGGCGGTTCTTGGCAGTTCTTGGTGGTTCTTGGCGGTTCTTGGTGGTTCTTGGCGGTTTTTGATGGTTCTTGGCGGGTTTTGGTGGTTCTTGGCAGTTTTTGGTGATTCTAAGCGGTTTATGACAGTTCCTGGTAGTTACAGGTAGCTGAGGTTATGGATAAAGAAATCACCATTCTCATGGAACTACGATGACATTCACGTGGAACAAAGGAGCCACATTAGTGAAAAATAGGAAAATCAACAGAATTCACTGTTTTTGAAATTGTTCGATGAAAAACACCATTTCATTAACCATGTTTACCTTCCAGTGACTCATCATCTGTTAATTTCTCCATATTTGAAACCCTCTATTCCATAATAATTTCACTTTCGAAGATCTTCAGGATAATTGATCACAATTTCTGCTCTACCTGATCCACGTTTCATTTCGTTCACTGCGAGGGTTCATCAACGAAATTATGAGAATACGATCATATTATGAAATCGATCGATAAGTTCAAATAGGCAGCAATATCGAAGGATTATTCTGGAACCCTCGAAATGTTTTTATTTGCGAGTGCGACCAACCCATTCATAAGTCAATGATTATAAGTTTCATGCTTTGTACAGAAATGTATGTACAATTCAGTATTATATGAACATTCCGGAACATTATCGTGTTTATTGTGTTTTATGTGGCTGCAGGCATCTCAGTACAAGCAACTGGTTCAATGATGCTCCATTAAGTGAGAATTTTGACCACGATTGTCTTGGAATGATCATAAATCTCATTCGAACACTGATTCGCTGTCTTGTTGGTCATCAAACCGATTGAATGTACCTCGAATATGTACAAGCTGAGCATTGACCTATCAAAGCATTGTGGTTGATCATCAAATCATAATACAAACAACTGGTTTTTCAAGTCTGTGGCTTCTTTTAGAGTAGCATTACCTACATTGTGATTGATATGTTCCAAAAAGTGTTCGTAGCAAATTGTGATCACCTTCTATCAATGATTCAATATTTTGGGTATTGATATGAAACAGGAATGCAGTCACTACTCACAGGATTCTCCGAACTATTTATGAACAGATATGTCGAGAGAAATAACTTTTTAGAAATCCGAAAATCAAATTGTGGAAAGGAAACTGAATGTTCGATATTCGAGAAACAAGTAATTTAAATAGATCAACAGAATGACAACAATATCTGAAACACACTTTAATCAACGAATGAATTATTTTTGGAATGTGATACCGTTAGAGTCAATTTGTATGCACGGGCAAAATTAATGCGAAATTATGTTGGATCGATCGATCCTGAACAACATTTTAACAAAAACATATCATGATATTAATCATTGTACTTTCAATTGAATATTATCCAGATCAGTTATTCCAATTGGTTATGGCAGATCATGATAATGCAATCAATGTTATTCTAGAGAGTTGGAAAGTCAAAATATAATTTTGCATAGCAGAGCGACCATTCACAAAAATTCTTTCGAACTAGTCTTATCCACAGCCTCAATAAATGTTGAGTAAAATTGGGAATGATTGAGTTGCTATGTTTATAGTTGGATAGGATGATGTAGTATTTCAAGATCATACAATGTGTGCTTCGTTTTTGATACAAAATCTTCTATCCAAACCAAAGACTTGATGAAAAAAATACCCACCCATGAAAGCAAAAATAATATTTTATTCTCATTACTGTGATTGAGTCAATATGATCATAAATGCATGCACTTTTCATTTCGTCGTGAGCGCATATAGACCAAACAGTGCAACAAACAACATGTTAACGATATTCAATCAGTTTTAGAATCTTTCAAGTATAGTGCTTCAATGATAAGGTCACAAAAATGTTCGCACTTCCTTGTGATGTTGTTGCTAATGTGACGTCGAATCTGGGGGATGAATTTGTGAAATTCCTTCATTAGTGAGGAACCAAAACGAATAGAAGCCACTGAGACAATTCCTGAGTGTTGTTCTCGTTTTGGAATTGTATCGCTCTTCTGATGCATCTATTGAAATTGTTCCTGATTTCAAAATATTCCATTCTAGTCAATACGAACGATGGTGGTCTGTTAATCCCAAGATAACGACTCCAGAACAATTCCGTGCCAGGGTTTTGTAAGTATTGATATCTTCGAGGAATGTGGTTTGTATAGTCTGGCTTCTAGCAGATGACCGCAGGAAAAAATTTGATCATCAGCAGACTGATAATTTCAGAAAGTAATCTCAAGCGCAGCTTAGGAAAGGTGATATCAGTTCAAAAGTGCGGTAAATCATACCTTCCTTTTGTTCCCGGACTTCTTCGGCATGTTTGAATGTTCAATCAGTTCCAAAAAAGGGACGCACTTGATATTTGACCTATCTTTTAAAAAAAAAAAATTGTAGATCGATTTTTTTTCATTTGTTGGTAGGTAATGTATTCGTCTTGAAAAAAAAGAAAGAGGTGAAAATTTTTTCGAAGCCTCCTTGATGGTGGTGGAATAACTCGAACCATGATTTATTCTTGATTTTTGACTCACCCTGTGTGTTGATTGAATAATGGCATAGAGAGTGCTCGCAACCTATACGAAAGAGGCTTCTTTTGCGAGCATTTTGTTTCTTTATTCAATCAACGGAGAGCTCATAATTTATTTCAATGAGTTTGATAGTGAAAATATGATAAACAATGTTGAATCTAACTCTCATTAACAGGAAGAAAGTCGTGCAATCACATATCAGTAAATCTAACTAGGTATTATATGCCATTTCACTCTTCAGTTGTGAAATGAATCATACTATTGCAGATTATTCATTAACTTGTTTCCTCTGTAGCATTCCCCCACCGCGATGATTAATTGTAGTAATTGTCTCTAGACGCTTGTTATCAACAATGAAGTTCCATGGTCCTGATTGGTCTGCATATTTTATTCGAATAGCCCGCACATGAGTGTGAGCCACTCTGCAACTGTCAAGTGTCAAGTCCTATATCATGGTTATGGTTACTCATGATGGTTGTCACTGTTGGGGAGGAGAACAGTCAATTCTAATTTCTTCGTGTATTTTTAGAATGAAGTTGATTGAAACTATAAGAACCTAGGGTCCCTTGATGGAAATTGACATTAAAGTCATCTTAACAGGGTACGGACAGATCATAGCTGCATTCTTTTTTAATGGTCTAGGGACTTGAGTTTTGTCTACTGGCATCCCTGACATTGCTGTCACGTCACATCCATGGGCGTTACAGAAAATCATTCAAAATTTTGATAATTGGTATGTACAGGGTATTTACTTGTTGTTGTTGAGGAAGATCATATGGCGGGGTAGGAGATAATGATTGTTTCGTAAAAATTGGAAAATTCAAGATGATGGATTCAATAAGGCGAAAGACATTAGTTTATATAATCATTATCACTCTACCACAAATAGAAAATACGTAGGATGCAACAGTGAAAATAACGTGCCTATAAGATATACTGCGTATACCTACTTCTTTGTTACTTTCATCAATGAATTATTCGAAAATGACTTGTTATTTAACGGAGAGGGAAAAATAAGGTGGAGTATATTCTTTTTTCAGCCTTTTCTCGTCCTAGACGAAGTTTTATACATAGTGTGATATTAGTAACTCCATAAATTCTTCTCCGAGTTGAACTTACGAAAATGTATTCAGCACACATGACATGAGCACAGTAGCTCAGATACCCACACCGAGGTTTCCCCCATTTCTCAATCATAAGGCTCTGCTAATTCAGCTCATAGATGAACTACTGCTCAGCTTGAAATCAGAATTCATTCAGTCAATTCAGTCAACCCTGGTATACAGTCTAAGAACAGTCTCTTTTGGTGAAATTGAGATGTCTCTAGGCATCTTAGGTGAAATATATTAAGCTTTCATCAGTACAATTGATATGTTCCCTAACTCGCAATAAAGATTTTGTTGGAGTAGAGGATTGTTCATCTATATCTTGGTATAGTTGAGTAAGAAATTCCATATGGAAATAACGTATGATACGCCAGTGCCCTCAATATAACCTAAAAAACAACGAATGTCAAAAATCTAGTGTTTATCCCCAGAATTGAATAAGGATGGAACTATATAACTGTTTCACAAACACTTTAGAGTGAGAGGAGACGAGGATCTGTCCGTACCCTGTTAAGATGACTTTAACGTCAATTTCCATCAAGGGACCCTATAAGAACCATGTGATATGTGTCTTTGAAATTGCCGTTTATTTCACAAACATTAGTAAAGTGGTGTGCTTCAGTAAAACTAGTAAAACGAATACCTACCTAGTTGAATTTGACAAGACGATGGGATGTCAGATTATCACGCCATCCTACTTTCATTGGAACTCTTATTACTCGATTCATCACAATAATGTCTGTCATTGGATGATGAAAATCGAGTTAGCAATGTATTAATGACTCCATTGTTGACTCGTTGTTGACTTCAGGCTCGTGCCTCAAACTCTCACACTCGTGAGGGAGGTTGAACTTTTTCCACTTGTTTCACACTATACTTTTTCCACAACTGCACTTATGCAAAGATTCCGAGTAATGTAGCTTATTGGTATTCATTTTATAATGTGACACTATGCCACATTGTATATTGTGACCAACGATCAGACGCCTTCCCTAGTTCCTCAAAGTATTTCAAAGAAGAACACTCTCCGAAGAAGATTTAATTCCAGTATTTCTTCAGATTTGATGAATTTTCCGTTGATTCCAATTCATACTTTTTTCTTGAAATTTCCGGAAACGAATTCTCCATTCGCAGTTTCTTCCATTATCTCAGTCTCTGGCAGTGTATTCATCAATATTGTCACATCTTGGTATATAGGTACGTCATATTATTCATTATGAATTGTAAGAATAATATTTGATGGAAAATGCGATTTTTATCAGAAGCACTGAAATGAGAACTACCCTAAAGAATTCAAAAAACTTTTTCTGGCAGTTGTGACAACTATGCAAAGCTGAACAGCAGCCAAGTTTTGGTCCATTTTTGTTGATTCTCTATGGAAATGTATGTGGTGTTGGCGAAGTGCGAGTGCGAAAGTTTTTGGCACGAGCCTGAAGGGCGAGTGATGCAAACACTATGCTAGCTATGAGAAATGTGCTACTTTTCATAGCAGTAGTAAAAAAATGATTTTATGATAATCATCCATTTCTATGGAGAATCAACGAAAATCGACCAAAACTTGGCTGCTGTTCAACTTTGAATAGTTGTCACAACTGTCAGAAATTATTTTGATAAATACACCGCCAGAGACAAAGATAATGAAAGAAGCTGCGATAGTTGTATTTGTTTCCGCAAATTTCGAGACGAAATTATGAATTGGCATGAATGAAAAATTTATGGAATCTAAAAAAATACAGGTATGAAATCTTTTCCGGAAAGTGTACTTCTTTGAAATACTGTGAGAAACTAGGAAAGGCGTCTACTCTTTGGTCACAGTATTCAATATGGCATAGTGTCACATTCCAGAATGAAAATCAATGAGCTACATTACTCGGATTCTTTGAATAAGTGCAGTTGTAGGAAAAGTATAGTGTGCAACATGTGGGGGAGAGCACTTTTCCCACTCGTATGTTTGCATCACTCGCCCTTCAGGCTCGTGCCACAAGCTTCCAAACACGTGGGAAAATGTGAACTTTCCTCACATGTTGCACAATATACTATTACTTCTACACCTTCCGATTGGTCTATACGGTTCGCCGACACTAACTTGCACTCACTCGTAACAAAACTCAAACTAGACAAAGTGGCAAACAAGATGGACGCATGCGCATGCTCTACCCTTACCCCTCACCATGAAACCGTCGTAGGTCCAGCTGCCGAACTTGAGCACGCAAGTCTGCTCGTCGAACGGGAAATACTCGACGTCTATTTCGCACGAGGACTTGTAAATCGCAGGCGGCTTCCACTCGACCAGGCCCTGGTGGTAGATGGTGGCTTTGGTGGCCAAGGTCACTTCGAAATTGCCGTCCGCGCTGCAAGTGTGGGAACACCAACTAACGAGCGGAACGGCACCGAGCGCAACGACCGAACGACCAACGGAAACCGCGAGACTCTAATAGTCGGAGAGGTGAGTGGCAAATAAACTGCTCAACACATGTTACATAAAATCGGATTTTATTGATCAAATTTGAATCATCATAACTTTTGAATTTCCCAACTGTTTGCCAATTATTCTTCAGTTTCTGGAAGCTCATTCAATTGACTATCGAACCTATTGGTATGACATTCTCTTTTGTTCCAGAATGAGATTCTACAGGATGATAATAAAAGCTGTGCATTTTTCCAAGAATTTCAAACACCTCCCGTTCGAGAGAAAAATGTTTCTATTTTATTTTTGGAGTCAGAAACATATTCCTTCATATGTTTTCCCAATACTGTGAGAAAATGTTTGGAATTGTCACACGCGTTACTGAAATATGAATGTTTTCATAAGATAATTGATAATTTGATGCTAAATTCTATTTCCTAACAACACAGGAATGTCCTAGGTACGTCCCTTCTTTTGTTCCGCGGTACAAGGACATGATTGGGGCATCCTGGGAATGTCTCGCAGTGGTTGTCCAGTGGACATCCCTAGGTTTTCATATTCGTGTCCCTGGAATATCTGATATCCATTCACATCAGAGTCATTGAATTTCCTCAGAATATTGAATTGAATTTTTCTGAAAATGCTTGTTCTTCTTCCGGAAAATAATTGTAATGGAAATAAAAAATGTAGTCTCAGAATTTCTTAAAAAATCACTATTTTTCGCAGACAGAAATCGTAAACGCATCCCTTGGATGTCCTTATCGTCTGAAAGTGGATGTCCCTGGGACTTCCCTAGTATGTACTTTATTCCGCGAAGGATATCCCTGAGATGTCCTAGCATGAAATTTGGGACGTCCCTGGGAAGTCCCTAGGATATATTTGTGTTGTTAGGGTTGGCTTTGTGTTCCTGTCAATCTGGTTCGAACGGTGGTCAAAATTATTGAAATGATGCATGATCAACCTATTCTTATATACAGGGTGGTCTCCAAACGACAATTATGACATTAGGAGATAAAAAAAATTTTTTTGTGTAGGAGAGGTTGTCATCACCATGTCAAGTTGCTACAGAGTTTATTGCAAGATGAAATCACCGGAATTGTTAGGAAAACCAGATTTTCAGAGTGTCGTTTCCACTTTGTGATTTTTAGAAGATAATTTCAAGGCAAATGAGATAGACTGAAGGAATATACAGGATGTTGTCTGAATGAGTTGCTGTCGAGACATACCATGCATCTCACAGAATTCATCACAATTGCAGTATATCAACGAGTATCAGGATGTGATTTCATTCGCGGTGAACGTCTTCACAAACGACTTACATTGAAGATATGTCGAAATTTGAAATAATGGCAGACGTGAGTCATATGTAATGTTCTAACTCAGAAAAAACATGTTTCAACTGGGTCAGAATACTCTTCCTGACAGATTCAAGAGAATTGTTGCGACATTCATGGTATTTTAACAATCTTCAAGCCGATTCCGCGTTAACTACTGAAGAAACTGGCTGACTGACGGCAGGCTATTGCAATATACCCTAAATACTACATGATCTCGGAATTTTGACTTCGAAAAACTGTTGCATATTTCCGCCACTCACCTCTCGGTCTATGAACTTTTCGAAGAATTCCCATACAGGAGCGTATAGAGAGAGGGTACTACAGAAAATAATCATCGCGGTGAGAAAACTTCACAGAACGGGTAGAGCGACTAAATTATTCCTTTTTTCTATAATACCCAGAACACAAGCATGCCTTCTCTCTAGAAAAGCCGATCTCACTGTGCCCAACATGAGCTTGTCAGCAGCAATCATACCTTTGAAGACATCCATTTCGATGCTTGGTATTACTATCAGCAAATAACCTTTCTTAGGAAAATCACGTGAGATCAGTTGCTGAAAGTGCATTCCAAAAACTTGGTTTCCTTTTTCGGTCCAGGAGCTATTTTACTTCTAATCAACTGCATATGATCTATAAGACACAGATCCGGCTTGTCCTGGAATAGTGGGAGATGCCATGCTCACAACTCAGTCACTTCTCTGAAACAACGTAGAAAAGTTGGCCATCTGGCTCTTTTTCATAGATATTTTCATGGACGATGCTCTTCTGAACAATTGTTCCTCCCTTGGCAGTCCCCACGAGACTAAAACATCGAGTTGTGGCTTCGCACCCCTTCGTGGTCACTTTGGAGACCTGCAGAACATCTATTTCCAAAGACTCGTCTATCCAACGAACAGCAAGGCTCTGGAACACATTACCAAGGAAGGTGTTTCCCGAGGCATATAACCTCCAGAAATTTAAGAAGAACACCAATTCCTACCTTATTTCCCTTGGTTCTCACAATGTTCTCTGAACATTACAAGATATCCCTTTTCGTGAGAACCAGAACATAAGCAAGCCTGGTTCAATGACTGCGACCGTCAGCTATTTTCTATCCTATTTCTCAAGTGATTTTCAGAAAAATATACCTCTTTGGGAGAAGGTTCATTTTGGCTGATTGAGGTTATATTGTTCAGACAGAGTAATTTATTCACTTATGGAGAAGAGATATTTCATTCCCTTCCTGAAAATAGTACTGTGTAGGCATTCACTGTTGGGGCCTATAGTGATCTGCTATTCCAGTAATGTATTTTTCCTGTTGACTTGATTACAGGCCAATTGAGGGTATTGGTTTATTCACCCACCATCAATATTTATTATTGGTCCGCTGCAACGTTGCATCGTTGGGTTCCCCACCACAATGATCATTCGTTGTACCCTGTCTCTAGACGTATATTGTCAGATTGGTCACAGTGAATCACGTGATACATTATGGACGCATGCGAAATCGCTTGCTCTCGAGAAGAAGGAACATAAAGTGCTCCATACACTATGGTAATGAAAAATGCCATCATAGCCCAGGGGCCAAGATTATATCTATAGGCGCCAGGCGATGGATAAAAGGTTCCTTGGTGATGATATTCTTCACTACCAAGATGTATGTTGATGTGTTTCCACCTCTAGCAATAAATTTCCATCATTATAGTTCTGTGAATCTGAAGTATGGACATATTGTCACTATGACAGCACTTTCATCAACTCTTATTGAAATCCAATAGCCACGTCCATGACAGCATATTATGACAAATCATTAGTGGAAAATCAATACCTACTACATTCAAGTGCTATTCCTACGAATCTCGCATCAGAACAGTGAATGCGGGTTTCAACATAGGTAACTATATCATTATACAGGGTGTTTTTTATATATTGCGACAAAATTCAGGAACGTGTTCTTTGGACAAAAATTCGCAAAAAAGTTCCTATAAACATAGGTCCTAAACCTTTTAGATTTTGAGCTACAGGGTGGTAAAGTTTTAACAAAAAAATGATTTTTTTTCGATAACTTAAATACCCCTGTAGATATTTGTCCAAAGATTGGTATGCAGGGTCTGTGTATCCAGAGCCATTAACCAACATACTTTTAACATTTGTATGTTCTCCAGTGGCGTGTGTGCGGGTTTTCCGTTGAATACTTTTATAAAAAAAAATGGTACGCCACTGGTTTTTCTTGTATTAAAAAATATTTTTAAATTCCCCGTTTTATTTGCAACATTTTTGATCCCTTGGACTTTGTCCGTTAGATGCACGGTTTTCGCACAAAAAATTAAAAAACATCTACTTTGACTGATCGCTAAATTTATTTTTTCTATGATCGTTATAAAAAGTAAGTTTTTTTTTAAATTTTATTTAAAATTTCATTGTAGCTCATAATATGTCACTTTATTTAACATGTTAAAAAAGTGACATATGAGTAACGTGTTAATATTTCACGCTTCCAAAATCGCGAAGTAACCTGTGAACATAATTTTTTTTAACGTAACTACGGACAACGCCGCCGCAACGATAATCACATTCTTGTTTAAGACGTCAAAATTAATGTCAAAGTAGATAATTCAAGTACAAGTTGACAAGATTATTTTTTAAAAAAAATGGAGGAGCACACTTTGAACAACATTTGTAAAAATAATAATATTACTTAAATAAATAATAAAAAATGAAATATTTTTTATCACTTAAAAACTTGAATTTTAAATTAAAGATTAAGCAAAAGTTTTAAACCCTCAATTACTATTTTATTAAATTGGGCTGGCTTTTGTATTGAATTAATTAATAAAATTTTCTAAAAAACTTACTTTTTATAACGATCATAGAAAAAATAAATTTTAGCGATCAGTCAAAGTAGATGTTTTTTAATTTTTTGTGCGAAAACCGTGCATCTAACGGACAAAGTCCAAGGGATCAAAAATGTTGCAAATAAAACGGGGAATTTAAAAATATTTTTTAATACAAGAAAAACCAGTGGCGTACCATTTTTCTTTATAAAAGTATTCAACGGAAAACCCGCACACACGCCACTGGAGAACATAAAAATGTTAAAAGTATGTTGGTTAATGGCTCTGGATACACAGACCCTGCATACCAATCTTTGGACAAATATCTACAGGGGTATTTAAGTTATCGAAAAAAAAAAACATTTTTTTGTTAAAACTTTACCACCCTGTAGCTCAAAATCTAAAAGGATTAGGACCTATGTTTATAGAAACTTTTTTGCGGATTTTTGTCCAAAGAACACGTTCCTGAATTTTGTCGCAATATATAAAAAACACCCTGTATAAACTATATGTAGGTAGTAGATCATAAAATGATAAAAGTTACCTAGGTAGAAAAGACACACTTCACAATCTGAATAGTGATAAGTACATCATGATAGGTTCTACAGGGTGTCTCTGAATGGTCTTTACACAAACCTACCACATATTCCCTAGCAAAACGATTCGATGCAAGCGAGCTCACCTCAGTACGCAGCTCAGACGCTAGACGGCTCTGGAGTTACAATTTCCAAATTGTCGGAAAGTTGAAATGAATTGAAATGTGCTATCAGCTAGATTTCGATGTTTTCAGCTTG